GCTGTTCCCGAAGCAGCGTGTACATGCTCATGACCATGCCAGGGGTGCAGAATCCACACTGGGAACCATGGCATTTTGCAATTCTCTCCTAAAAGGGACAGACGACATGGACACCTGTGTTGGCAGAACCCCTCTCAGACTCCCTACATGATTCAACTGGAGCCAGGCCATGTCCACAGGCCGTGTGGAGCAGCAGTCTCTGCACAAAGTCAATTCCTAATGCCACCACTTACCAACTGTGACCTTGGCCATGGTACCAAGTATCTCTGAGCCATGAGTCCTTCATCTATATGATGTTGACCATCTTAATACTTACCTCCAGTGCTGTGGTGAGGAAGTAATGAGATAATTCCATAAAACTCTTAACATTATACTTGGCATATAGTGGGCAGTCAACCAGTGTTAGTTAATAGTAGAAAAGTCCCTTCAAAGAATAGTGACTATTAGAGCTGGAAGTGCCTTCTTACCCTTCATTCCATTCATTGAACAGAGGAGGAAGCAGGTCCGGAGGGTTACGAGCTTATCCAAAGACATACATGGTGAATGCAAGAGCTGTGTCGTGTTCTTTTAACTATGTTATCCCACAATCCAATTCAACCAGCATTTATTAAGAACCAACTGAATGCATCTTATTCCAACCCAAAATACCACTTTCTTCTTAAATGAAGGAAACACTTGAAGATCAAAGGGAACATATTAATTGGGAAATGTGTCATATAGAATTTGCTAAATGCATTGAATATCACAGAATTTTTATTCAAACTTGCAAGATTTTTATTACAAGGAGATTCTCCACATCATATTTTTTGTGGGGGGGGGCGTTCTTGGGGGTCTCTCTTGGTACTTACATTAAGTAAAAGTGTTTGTTAGAATATTGTATCCCCAGTGCCTGCATCTATATTCATTCATTTTATAAATATTCACTGAGAACCTATTATGTGCCAGCATGGTAAAAGCAATGAGTACAAGGCAGTATAGAAAAGAGATGAGGTCCCTGGTCTCATGACGCTCATGTCCTAGTAGGGGAAATACTGACAAAAAATATACATGAAAGATTAAGAAAATTGCAGGTGGAGGGCAGTGCTAGGTAGGGAATTAGTACAGGATGACAGGACTCAGTGTGACCAGTGGTTACTCAAGATGGTCAGAAATGGTGGCTTTGAAAAGGTGACCCTTAAGTTGAATTTAATAACACAATTTGGATCAGGGAAGAGTGTATGTATTCCAGATGGAGAAAAGAGCAAGGACAAAGCCTCTGAGCACAGCAAGTGCACAGCCTGCTGTGCTAGAATCACTGAAAGGTCAGTACAGATTGAACTACACTGGATGAGAAAAGTTCTGGGGAAATAGGCAGCAGCCAGTCATGCAGCTCCTCATAAGCCATGTTAGGGATCTGGATTTTTATTCTGGGTGTGATGGAAAATCATTAGGGAATTTTCAGCAGGATGTGATAAGACCTAACTATGTGTTTAAAGAATCACTGTAGCTTTGGGTGGGGATTGGGCTATAGAGGGCAAGAGTAGAAACAGAGGACCAGGACACCGTAATAGCCCAGGTAAGAGGGGATGGTGGCTCACACTAAGCAGTAATAGGGAAACTGAGAGAAAATAAAGGTTTCATTGTAGGATTTGGAGGTAGTGTAGACAATACTTCGGATGAACTGAGTGTGGTGTACAAGAGAAAAAATCAAAATGACTCCCAGATGTTTGCCTTCAGCAATCAGATGGAGGCTTTTGCCATTGACTCAGATGAAGGAAGACTAGGGAAAAAAGAAGTCAGGAAAGAATAGGGTTAAGTTCAAGAATAGATATTCATGTAGTGATGCCAAGTAGGCAGTTGGAAATATGAATC